GGAGTTTCGTACAAAAAGAAGTTTCACGCGCAACTATGCCCAATTTGTATCAAGGTGTTTTTCTTTAAGATCATGTGAAATGTTGCCGCTGGTAGCCTCCACAATAGGAACAATAATTATTGCTTACACATATATGCGATTGTAATTAACATTATATCTTAACAACAGTTCTATTAAGAATATTCCTCACTGCTATCTCGATAGAGATGGTAACTAATATATTTAATTTAATTTATTGCAACAAACGATTACGGTAGCAAAGAGAGAACATTAAGATCGTAGTGCAAAGGGTTGGGCGCCTTTATTATTTTCTTTTACATTTTGCAATTTAAGCCGTTCGAGTATTTTGTAACATTTTGCCACAATTTAACCTGAAATATTATCTAACCAACTAGTTTTACCTGTTTTTCTGTTAGTTGGTTAGACGATTAGGACAATTCTCAGTGTATCATTTTCGCACTTTGTTCCATTGCTTGTACAAGTGTTCAGACAGAAATTTGTTTCCCGCGCCAGGCCAATGGTGAACTTTTACTCTTACCGATCGTCTAAATTGCTACTCGCTGATGCAAGGTAAAAAGCACCGTGCATAGAACGTTACTTTCTCTATGACTATTTGAACTATGCAAACTGTCAGTCTGGGATAAATAAGCCACATAATATAATGCAATACTTATAGTGCGTCTCCACTCTCAATTAGATTACATTGCAAAAGCAGTTGAACGGAGATTTGTCACGGAATTATACGCTGTCGTTGCTAAAGCAGTATTATTTATATTAGTCGTAACTCGGAAATTGGTCAAGTAAGAATGATAGATTGACGTACGTTATATCTGATAATGCGTAAAGAATTTTATATATCGAATTTAATGTGCCACTCGAAAATATACAACGGAACATAAAGTTACTTCCTGCACGTTTTTCTGAAATTTTACAATGGCTAGTTGTTATTTAAATAGGCTATCATTATACGAGCTAGAGATAGGCAGTTCTTGTTTCAATTGCTCGCAGGCAGACAGACGAGCACATTTGATAAAAAAATTGCTTCATCGCGAATATTAATCGCCATAAATGGCTGCCACGGTCGTAATTGTGCTGTTGTTACTGTTATCAAGGAAAACCACATTTTCACACGAGTACGCGGAATAACTTAAATAAAACAAACGCGGGTACGCACACAACGTGAATTCTGTGTACGGCTTGTTATCGTCAATAAGCTTTGTGACGGGAATGCGCGATGGCTGGATCGTTCGAATGCAGAAATCATCCGCGATGCAATTTACGTTGTAATCAACCGCGTACTTGGAAAGAGAAATCCAAACGATCTTATTTAATTTGCAAGTAAGTTCGACGTAAGCTGACGACTGACAATCGAATTAGCTGCGTGAATAATGTGCATCGTCCGACTTGATCGTTTTCTTGCCGCGATCGCCGCTGCGATTTTCCGCTGTAACGTGCGCGCGCGCGAAACTTGTAATTTCGTATTAATGCAGGCGGCAGATCAAGAGTTCAATATGAATTATTATTTATGAAAGTTATACTGGAAGTATGCTGTAACATTGCGAGGGAAATATTGATATCAACCGTATTTCTGCCTTTTAAATCGATCGCACCCAGAATTCTCTTCCTCTCGACGTTGCTCTCTAAAAGTCAATCAGTGGATCATCATTGAAAACAATGAATATTCACCGATTCAGTGCTATACTTGTAACTGTTTTCAGTGAGAATGCACTGATTGGCTTTCAGAGAGTACAATTAATTAATTAATATTTATTAATAATTTATGTCGCGTACGCGACACGCGGGTAAAATTGAGTCTTCCATTTCTGCACATGTTAAATATGTGAGACAAGAAGCGATTATAATCTTCGGTTTTCAATGAAGTATTACAAATTCTCTATATTTTTTACATTTATTTTTTGACCAAGTTTTACGAGAGAGATTTTAGCTTAGCACCGGCAAAGGAACGTTAATATTTATTTTCCGTGTACCGTATATTACCATGATATATCGAAGATCTCGGATGTCTCTCTTGACGATGCTCGAAACAAACAGCACGCATCTTCAAACGTTGGCAGACTTTTTATACCGGTGAATTTTAAGAGGTGGATATTTGGGTCAGGTTATGTATGTGAGACGCGATATCATTCGTACGTCGTGCGTGTCCCGCGAAGAAATTCCCGTTCAAGAGACCGAGCAGGTGTTCGTTTTCATTCTTAGCTCGCAGCATTCAATCGGATAGATGCGCGTCATTGCATAGATCGCGGAAGAGGAAGACAGAGAGTTAATCCACATTTCTGCGCGCAGTGATGCGAGCAATTGTTGTATAACGTAATTAGAAATGAAAGACGTCATTTAATTATTAAGTTTGCATATTGCGTATTGGAAATAAATTGTCAAATTAATTGCAAATTAAAATTAATAACTGTGACTGTCACGATCACATTTATTATTATTAAAGAATAATATGCACCTATGACGCATAGAAAATAGATCAATAAAGATTTACAAGTATACACGTATAAAAAAACGAAATTGCACGCGTAAAGAGTATAAAATGAATATAGATTTAATATAGCTTAATATTTGTCACAATGTTATGTGTGGTGGGTTGTTGTTCGCGAATGGCTCGAGAGAAAAACAATCTTATTGGTCTTGGTCGAGGCATTAAACAAACTGGTACTGATTCGATATACATAATTGATAGTTTTATCGTGAGAGTTTTCAGGGTTAAATTTTTTACTTTGTCATGGAAAGAATAAAAAGATATGAATTATTTTCAGTTACCTGAAATATTGATCCACAAAAATGCTCTTATCAAAGAAGTTTTCAGTTATTTATAAACGTCTTTTAATATTTTATTTTCTTTCGAAAATGTATATTCGTGCAGGTTATTTTTCGGTGAATATAAAATTCTTTGCATCGAAAACTGTAAACGATGACAATTAGCCAACGATCCTTGACATGCTTGTGGTTCGCATACATTGAATACTAATGGGTATTGTAGTTTTCCTAGAATTGTCCTAAACATTGTGTAAATGCAAATCATAATTCCGAAAACCAGTCCTACCGACGTGTTTACGCAAACAACCAACTTCTGAATTAAGTTGGAGACAATTTCGTTTAGAAGAGATAGAAAAGAGAATTTTAAAAGAGGTTTATTGAAACGCGATTTAAGATTAAAAATTACAAATTCGCAGTACATCGAATTCTTTTTGAGGAATGATTATAAGAAATTTTATTTTCTAATTAATTAGAAATAATTTTACCTTAGCAAAAAATTAAGTCAAAGATTAACGAGATACTTAACATCGAATGCATAGAACACTAAAAAAACTATTTCCATCAAATTATTATTTAAAAATTATTATCTTCGTTTTACTTTAATCTACCAATAATAAATATTATGCCATGATATGTTAAAAATGTATAATGTTTGAAGAGAACTTAGTACTATTATAATCTATTTTGAAACGCATAGTGTCTTGATTTATAAATATGTTAACAACTATGCTAATACTTGGGATTTTTGCATATACGTCATCGTTATTAATGAATTTTTTATATGTGACTTTTAAGCGCAGTCGTTTTCATGAGTCACTTAATTATTAGTAAAACACTTGACGGAAAAATGACTATCATCACGAATTGTCGTCAGGATAAATCGCGTCAGCTAATTCTACGTAAACAATTCTACGTATAACTTGTTTTTTCCAATTTCAATGACTAAGTGATTGAGAAGAAAAAAGGGTAAAGCATATCTATCACTTACTGGACAATTATAGGAACATAAATATTTCCTTACAAGAATAATTTAGAGTCATGAAATCTAATAATATGAATAAGAACAGTTACACAAAATAATGTAATATAAAAATTCAATTAAATCTTAGGAAATGTATAACAAATCTTATGATACTAGTATGTAACAATAGATAGATATTACATTACATATACAATTTAATAAATCCGAATTTATTCTAAATTAAAGTTTTTATATTTAAAGCTAGCGTCACACTATGCGCGACTCGCGATTCGTATATTCGTGAATAGTGTGGAGGAAAATTTCGTCGATTCGCCATTCGCAGTGATTCGCTAGCCGAGCGGTTTTTTTTAACGAAAATAGTGGTTTTTTGACTAACATTGAAACTTGACTAATTGTAGACTTAATACAAGTCGTGTAATGACAGGTGAAAGTTAAAATTTGTCGAAGTTTTATATGTATATGTATAACATGAACGAAACGACAAATAATTATTTACGAGTGATAAATTGCGAATCACGAATCACGAATCATTTATTGCTACGAATAGTGTGGCGCATAGTGTGGCGCTAGCTTTAGATTATTATTACAATTAACAATTATTCCGTATAACAGTTTCCGTATAAAATTATTTTATATAAAAAATATATTAACGTCTTTACTACGATGTAATCAAACTATTTCTATTTCACGCGTATTATATATTTCCCCGAGTTGTGCCTTATGCTTTGTACGAGGGTGAGTCAAAAATTATCTGCACTTTTCGTTCTACAATTTATTTACACAAAAATAGGGGTTCAATGTGTACACCATTTTTCAACATAGTCTCCTCCCTTGGCAATGCACTTGGTCTAGCCGTCCACAAGCTTGCGTATTCCTTCCGAGAAGAAGATTTTCGGTTGGTCGCAAAGCCACTTTTGCACCGCTTCCTGCAGCCCAGATCTTGCTCCCTCCGACTTTCATCTGTTTGGGCCGCTCAAGGATGCTTTGCGAGGTCGCTAACTTTCTACAGACGTAGACGTGCAGGAAGCGGTGCAAAAGTGGCTTTGCGACCAATCGAAAACCTTCTTCTTGGAAGGAATACGCAAGCTTGTGGACCGCTGGACCAAGTGCATTGCCAAGGGAGGAGACTATGTTGAAAAATGGTGTACACATTGAACCCCTATTTTTGTGTAAATAAATTGTAGAACGAAAAGTGCAGATAATTTTTGACTCACCCTCGTAATTGGGGGTCCCATTCGTTTCGAATACCCTACATGTGTTTCAATGTAATGTCGTCTTTTTTAGATTATGTGATACAATCAGCTGCACAATCCAGCCATTTACAGACTCCTACACGTATACGTTAGGCTATCTGTTAGCGTGGGAAATTGTACTGGAAATCTGCGAAAAGGCTCATAGTAGTTTACGATATCAATATGCCGAAATATTGAAGTAAGTACATATGTTATGATGTGTGCGTTATCCATTATCTATTTCCTACAACGTTTTGAATAAATCGTAGAGACGAACTTTTCCCCTGTTTGTTGAACAACATCTTCAAGTTGATGCCCGTGGAAGTGCTACAAGATAATAAAAATAAAACGGCAAAACTACTGGAATTATTTACCACTGTTCCAGTTTTTCGTTTTAAAGGTACTATTGAAATTAATATTAAACTCGTAAGATTTGATTTATATATATCGTTGTTATTAATATAAATATATTGCTGATGTTTTGTAGAAAGTTGGACAGACACGAAATTGGATCATATCATATGTTGGTTGTATACAAACTGCTTGCGGCGTCTACCAGTATTAGTTAGACAATGGCTGAGTACAGTTGATAGCAGAGTCGGTGCAACGGTGGACAAAATTACAAGTCATTACGTCAGTCCTAAACTTTGTGAAGATGAGCTTCTGTACAGCAAATTACAATTGGATAATGTTGAAAACCTGCAGGCATGTCCTCACGAGTCCCGTTTCTTTCACGTACACACACACGTCTTAACAATTTAGGTTGATTTGTTTTCAAATTTAACATATGCTTTGTGTTGCTGTAGGTAAAAGTGCATTCAACAGCGAGGAAAGTAATAGCCATGTACCAAATGGAAGAAACGAAATTGGAAATAAGTATAACGCTACCACCAAACTACCCGTTAGGTAGAGTTAAAGTAGAATGTGGTCAACAGATAGAAGATGCGACAAAGCCGAAAAATGATCACATGGAACTCTCCAAGTTTCTTACACATCAAGTGAGTCTTACAATATTTACGTATATAAAATTAAAAGGATGTTTCTTTTTCATGTAATCGGTTAAATTACAAAAAGTGTGGTCTCCTGATTTTATAGATATGTCTTGACTTGTTGATACGCTTATCCTTGAAAAGACCAGAATCCGAATAGTCAAAATGTTGGATGTAATCTATTAAATAAATAATGTATACCGTCTGCCAGTCGTCTAATAACTCTTTCTATTCTTGTTAATTATATACTGGCGACAATAGACTTTATTCCTGTTAAAGGGATGTATTCCAATTATATTTTCTTTTATAGAATGGCTCTGTTTGGGATAGTCTTCTAATGTGGAAACGCGAGCTAGACAAGAAATTTGCAGCCGTCGAAGAATGTTACATATGCTTTAGCATTTTCCATATTAGCACATACCATTTACCAACATTGTCGTGTCACACCTGTCGCAAGAAGTTTCATACTCGCTGCTTGGTAAGGATACCTTGTTAATATTATTGTTTATTAAGTACATATAATATTACGTATACTTTTCTCTTTTTCAGTACAAATGGTTCAATACGAGTCAAAAATCCACCTGCCCGATTTGCAGAAATGTATTTTAATCTGGTTTGGAAAAGTTTTTGTACATAGAGCGAAAGTATTAACGGTACGAAAATTAAGTAAAAACAATACAAAGAGAGAGAAAGGAGGAGGAGGAGGATGAAAGAAAGGAGAGGAGAGATTATATGAAACAAATATGTATTATAAATTTAATACAAGAACTGAGCTGTTTGATGTGATATAATATAAATGTACAACTAACTAGACAAAGACAATGTAACCGTATAAAGATATAATTGCAGGACGGATCATATATCTAGATGATTTGTAAAACAGAGGTAAGGGAATTCTTTTCCTTATTTGTTATAGACCTATTGTTTGATGATTTTTATAGTGTTTTTATTTTTCATTGATCTTTCCAATTCGGAGTTATATTGATTTTGATCGCGCGGATACAATCTTCATTGTATAATAAAATTAATGTTCCGTTTAAGATATTTATATTACAAAATTAAATTTTATGAAAAGCAAATATAATCTCTCTTGTGTAAAATTTATTATCAGCGATGCTTAGATGAATAAAACAACTTTTGCTAATTCTTTCTCATTTGACAAAATGTTTGACTACTGAATCAGCTTGGCATGTGTCGACAAGTTCAATTTTCATAAAATCAGGATATGTCTTGGTCAGAGCTCGATATCTTGATTTTCTTCATCAAAGATTCTGATACAAAGTAAATCGACAATTTGTTTAGCGAAGAGATACAGGCATAGTAAAACTACTAAAGTAGATCCACTCTCCTACTTTGCGGTCCTGATCACGTGGTATTCCGCCATTGTTCTGGGCAGCAATCCAGTGGCGCGCGTGTGTGTGTACGTACTGTAGTTGGATGTATCAAAGCTACACTACTGCACATACAACTTTTCTCTCATTGGTCTGTCCAGAACAAATGACGGAGTGGACCTACTAGTTATACTATGCTTATGAGGATACATGCGGTCTATTCTTACTACGGCCGGTATCCGTAGTCGGATCTTGTGTTCAAGACCGTCTTGAATTTATCTAAAGATGCTGTGCGAAACATTTCATTGACTTCGGAGCATCTAAAAATGATCCTGGGGCTCAATTCTTGAATTCATTCGAAGGAGAAACGTATACGAAAATCCTGCTCTGGCAGAAAAGTTGCAAGTCGATTGGTTAAAAGCCGTGCGAGCAGCCAATCAACTTGCAGATTTTCTGTAAGAGCAGAATTTTCGCACATGTTTCTCCTTTGAATGACTTGAAGAATCGAGCCCCTGAGACAGTCCCAAATGTAAGATCTGACTATGATCACTATGGTACAGACAATATCTACATCTGTATCTCTATCTTGTATTGGTATATTTTTGAAAAAAAAAACATACCAAGCTCTGATCTCATTACTGATCATCCTGCTTGTTATATGCACACACAAACATTATTAAAACATGTAATAAAGTATATTAATTGTAAGCTGAAAATTATGTTAACACCGAATATATATTTAAACATACATTATAGAATAGATTAGCACAAGTATATGGCATCCGACAAATACAATATACAATATACGTAATATACATGTATGTGCGAATGTACTCGACATATTACATTTACTGAGGTATCTTTAAAATGCGTATTTGTTTTAATATTTCAAACATTAATAAACCACGAAACGATTATATATTTTAAAGGAAAGAAAAAACGCTTTATTTAGAAGAAAGCCCACGATCCTTTTGGCCTCCACGATTTCGGAGTGGGCGGGGTTCGACAGCGCTCTTCGCGGGTAAAATTTGCAGGCGCAGTCGCGTCCGTGGGAAATCAAGGTCGACGTACGTGTGTATGTGTACACGATACAAGAGCAGAGCTCCGCAAACGCGCGTCTTATTGTCAGGCAGCCTCAGTCCGCAGTTCCGCACGACAGTCTGTCGACGTGCGCTGGGAACGGTGGAATGTTCCTGTTTGCACGGACTATTTCTGGATACAGTATCTGAAGTGCGTGCCACTCGACGTGAAACTTTGCGATAGATGTTTAAGAATCTGCATACGACAATGCGGCGCGAGTGCCGCCGGAACGGCGGTGCTCCGATCTGCAGAGTGAATGAGCGAGTGACACCGCATCGGACGGTGTCACAGGTCGGAAACACGCGAACACGCACGGTGTTAATTGCTTAACGAGAGATGGACACGCGGCGCGTACTGCGCCGTAACTCTGCGGGGAAACATTCTTTATTAATAGACTTTATTAATAGAGTAATAGGAAAAATTCTTTATTAATAGTGGCGTAACCTAAAAACACAGCGCGACGATAATTGCGAACGGGAACCCGTCGTCAAATCTGCCCCGGCAGATTTTTATCGGCAAAATGCCAGCGAATAACAGAACACGGTGACAGTGCGACGGGATATTTTATTCAAATGATTACGCCATGTTCCGCTTGGTTTCTATTGATATAAGCTGTCATTATATCGATACACTGTACTGGCGGCGCAGCCGAGTTTATTGCGAACGCAGTCAATTTGCCACAGTATTCTGCTAGAATCTGCGTTGCGATGGAGTGTCGATCGTTTTCGTTTATTTTGAAAGATCACGAGACACGGTGGTGTCTCGCGCCAAGTATAAGCGAAAAAAGTTAAAGTGACAAGCTAGAACCGTATAAAATAACATCAAATTTGGTTGACCATATCTGGCAATTTTTATGATCAAGTATCGCGACGCTTCGACCGTGGGTTTTGGTCCTTTCCTAGCGATCGTGACTAATACAAATTAAATTTTACGAATTAATTAAATATAGTCATCACATCCGAGATAATAAGTTAGCAATTGCATAAATTGCGTGTTACCTGAGGTAGTCGTGTACAAAGACTCGCTTGCATTATGGTGGTGTTGAAAGAATAGTCGTTATAATCAAAAACTAAAAATGAGAATGTTAGAGAAAGAGAAATTGCAGAGTCTTCAGACTTGCATGTTAAACAATTGCATATAAATCTAGATGATATAAGTAAGACGCAGTGTCTTGGAAGAGCGTTGGTTTTTCAAGATTTAAATTTGTCCCAGTGGCACTTCAATTATTAATTATTAGTTAAGGATGTATTGGACGTACAATCTTAGACAAAGTGCGTGAAATTGGAAATACTTGAATGTCTACTCTTAACGCATAGTAAATCTAGATGTAAGAAACTTGAACGACAGTCGGAGTCTTATTTGTACTCCTACAAAAGTATTTTTCACTTTACCGATGTCTTTTCCTGCATTATTTGCGACCTTTTTCACTTACGAGCCTAAACTTTTGATAGTGAAAATACCCTGATCTCAACTTAATGACGTCGAATATTTTCAAAACTAAAAAATTCGTGCCGACAGCACGAATATCTCAAGTAATATTTTATGTCTTTAAAACGGTGTAGTAAAAACTATTGAAACTTGGTAGATATTTTCATCTATTTATATACTAGATGTATTAAAAAATTCAAAACACCGGTGCTATTTCTTCTATATTTTTTTCAGCTGTTTTATCCGTGAAGATCGGCTCTTTCCATAAGAGTACGTGTAAAATCAGTGTCAATTAAAATGATTCTTTTTTTAAAAAAAGAGTTTTTAGCGATCGATTACTTTCACCGATTTTGAAAGATGTCGAAGATATTGAAGAATCATTGTTTCAGAAGACAACTATATTACAAATGACCAAAACTAAACGCTTGTTGCTTTATAAAATATAAATAACGGGAGAGAAATTTTCATGAAAATAAACCTGACGCTTTAATTTCATAAAATTTAACGACCTACACTGGTCAATGTTTTTATTAAAAAACCGATTACAACGTTTCGGCCCCGGATTTGGGCACTTTTCAAGTGATCTGAAATTGCATTTTCTTTCGTCATTTTCCATCGCTGACGATTGTCATGACGAGCATTGTGATAATCGTGAAACACTCAGGGTGGTGTGAGGGTGACGTCACATGGAGCGTAAGAGTAACCTGCGTATCGCAAATCACAGAACCATTTCGACGGAATTATTGAAACGGATCTATCAGAATGACCCTGCGATTGGAGTGGAGTTGATACGCCCGATACGCGCGTATCGCGATACGCGTCACGGGACGGCCCTTACGATAGCTACGATGACTGTGTTATTTTACATCTTGAAAAGATCGTAGATACCGTATCTTTACATCGATTTCCGCATTATCGCGAAGTGCAATATGTTCATCAACTCCAATTTTTATGAAGTGCTTTTATTCCCAGAGCATTGTTCAATTAGATTTAATAGATCGCGTGTTTAGCCATGAATTTTTGTTATCACGCGAGGACATATGTATAATAATCGCCTGATCAGTAAATTCAATTTCATAATCATTTTTTCATCTAATTCAATTTACTACGCGCACACATGCGACGATTGTGAATATATTTGATCGTGTTTTATACATAATTTAAGTATTTAAATATTGAAGAATCATTGTTTCAGAAGACAACTATATTACAAATGACCAAAACTAAACGCTTGTTGCTTTATAAAATATAAATAACGGGAGAGAAATTTTCATTAAAATAAACCTGACGCTTTAATTTCATAAAATTTAACGACCTACACTGGTCAATGTTTTTATTAAAAAACCGATTACAACGTTTCGGCTTCGGATTTGGGCCCTTTTCAAGTGATCTGAAATTGCAAATTGCAAATTACAACAAAACAAAACAATGCTGAAAGACTGTCGCGAATCAACCAGAAATTCATACCTGAATAATTACTGCGTCGTTAGTCAATCGTTTGGCCAATATCATTGCACAGTGATAAACTGGGTAGAGACAAGGGAAAAATCATTATACTGTTACACACTTAACTAACAGGATCAATAAAAACGTTGTAATCGGTTTTTGAATAAAAACATTGGCCAGTGTAGGTCGTTAAATTTTATGAAATTTGGTTTCAAATGACTGGCGATATATAATTGCCACTTTTGACGCTTTAAATTTCGAAAGGCAAAATTCTACCCCGAGAACACTCTGAAATATTTTGTACACAAACTAGGAAATAAGTTTAAATACATCATAATTTTATTCCATTAACGTATCAATTATTTTCCCTCAGAATGCTGTCGACCAAGTTTGCTCAGTTGCGCGTAACAGCGCGATGCTTCAGTCGTAGCAATATTATACGAGACATTAATAAAGACAATATTCCTGCACAGAAAAGCAGTGAAACCACAACAGGAACTGAGGGTGTCTTAGGTAAAAAAACAAGTTTACATACAAATAGATAAAATAACTATTTTCTGTACGAATTAAACTTAAGAATTGAATTCATCATTCTCGTTTGTAGTTAAATTTCGATTCTTCTTTCTTTGCGGTTTAATTGTGGTAAAAGCTACGATATTTTGTGTATGCAACATACAATTGAAGAGAAATTTTGAAACTACACCGAGATGTAATTTCTTATGCACATTTTTGTTTTAGGATCACGCATGTATCGTGTAACCGACTTTGACAAGAAAATACTAGTTTGGGTGAAACGCTATCCAAGCGTTGCAGATGTTCCTAAGGATGTTACGTATGTGTTATACCTAACTTATGTCGTGCAAGAGCATTCAACGCTAAAGAAAATATAAATTTAGCACGAAATACGTTCAAATTTTGATATATTCGAAATTGACTTTTCAGTAGAAATTTTAACATTGGTTATCATAAAATTATAAGAAACTGTCTTTTAATATATTTCTGATAAATACAAGGTTTCAAAGACGTTTCATAACAATTTCACGTCTTATGAACTTTTGCGACACTTATTTTAAATCATTTAGTAAATAAATGCTTTCTCTCTCTCTTAAACAGAACGGAGTGTATACTTACTGCAAGAAGTAAAGCTCGAATCAAGACCTGTAATTATATGATCGCTGCTACCATACTCGGTTGCATAATCTTTATAACACTTGGAAAGAGGGGTGCTGCAAAAGGAGAAACTTTGCACAAACAAAGAGACGATTGGCTCAAGGAACAGTTGGAACAAGATAGAAAACTAAAAAATATTAAATAGATGTGTAAATATTCAGAGATAGAAATATTTTAGAAAATTTTCCGAGAAGCCCAGCCGGATATTATCGATTGTCGTTATTTGAAAATATTTCTACTCGATATTCTTCATGAAACAATAAACATTTAGTTTCGATCGCTTTAATGATTTGTACTTGTAACATACAAGGCTATTCTTTAAAGTGGCAATATTTCGTAATAACAAGGCAACAAAGTACATTGTTTGTATATACAGGTATTTACTGTAAAATTATGTATTTTATTTACACTTAGAGCATCGATTTGTATATATATATACTATACGTATATATACGTAATGAATGTCTGATTCTCATTAGATTTAGCAAGCATTTTAATTAATGCCTGTACAATATAAAATATCTAAATGTACAATCTCGACAATTTGTGTACTTTCAATTATCCTTGTATACAGCGAACAATTGCAACAAACTCCTGTGAGAAAATCTGCGTCTATTGTACATTATCCAAAGAAAAGTAACAATGATCCACGAAACAAGCAACTTATTGTCGTTAACATTTACAAAATCACTATGTATAGCTAGTACAATTCGAATAGCGTTCAGATGATCATATACCAATAACTTGAACTGATTACTCGCAGGTTCTATGTGTTTAAGTGCAGTGGTTTGTAGAATCCACGGCATCTCTCGTAATAGACCTGTATCGTACGCTTCTTGATCACCTCCTCTATATTGAGCTCCGATTGCAGCAGCCTCAGTTTGGTCTGCTCCTTCCTCAAATTCTTCACTAACGTCGGGTCCCCGTCGCCGCTCTTGTCTCTCAGCTCCTTCAACTGCACCACCCTCTCCCTGGTGACCTCCACGCATCTCGTGATCGCCTGCGTCCTCTGCTCGTGCTCGGATTCTATCTGCTGGAACAGGTCTTTGCACTGCGCGCTGGGGTCCACTTGGCCCTTGAACGACTCGGTGGGAATTGTGGTATTGAGCATATAAATTATCTTATCGTCCATCTGCCGCATCTTTCTCAATGTGTCCTGCAAATACACAGTACGTTCTTACCGTCTACTTATGTAATAGCGAACAGCGTTACGTATTGACATTTTTTTACAGAAAGTAACACATGAAAAACTGCCTACAGTGTGCATTCAGGTTTTATATATATATATATATATATATATATATGTATTTTTCCATTGCACTTAGCTAACCTCACGTGCACATTCCTAACCTCTCAAATGAGGCTGCACGTACGTAAACACGTTTAGGAGAAGGGCGCGAGTTTAATAGCAACGTCGAAATTTCTCTAACGCATCGCCGCGGCTCGAGCGACCTTATTTCGTGGCGCAGCACGCACTTCTCGCGTTACAAGGACCGCGAGACCGTGGCCACTAGCCGGCATCAATTGTACAGTTTTAATGTCTTACTTTAAGATGACTTAACTATTGGTAAGCGCATGTATATTTGTTATACCCGCGTGACGCGGCGCGCGAACCCACGAGTGTTACGTAAATCCCGCTTTCGGAAATACCTGAAATTGCAAAAAATCGCTACACTCCACGATGGTTGCCATTTTTTAGGTTGGAAAGCCACGCACACGCACGAGACCGTGAACCAGGCTGAAACGAGAGCCATCGGATCCACGCGGGATCCACGGTAAGCTGGATTGGAAGGGATGATGAGATCTTGGCTGATTCTATCATCCATTCTTCTCTTTCAAGCTGCATTTTTTCGACCGGACGATTAAACGGTATGCATTTATGCATTTTTTAAGGGTATTCATGATCCCAGCGAGAAATGACTCGTTGATCGATGTCGAAACGATGTCGAATCAACATCAACACCGTCAAATTTATGTCAAATCGATAGGGGTGTGACATTTTGATGCTATCTTTATACGCAAAGTGTCGCAAAATGCCCCAGGAACGTTTTTAATGTCATTTCTTTACATTTTCGAGTCCCCCCCCCTTCGTTTTAACGCGTTTTTAAAACGCAAAATGGCGTCAAAAATCGCAATTTTCCTCAGTAAACGTTACCCAAGCAGAACAAAAAATCACAATAATTTTTTTATTAATGTTTTAGAAATACGGAAAATGAAGAAGGCGGTCAAAAGCGCCATCGTGTTACGGGATACCTTGAAGATTTTACATCTGAATATCAGGGTAAGTCAGACTATTCATTGAAAATAAAATAACTCTCTCGGCTCTTGTTAATTCTAGTAAAGTGCTAGTAATACCTGAAATGTTTTTCAATTAGTATGATAAATATTTTATAGTTTGTTATAAAGACCCGCGATTTCTTTTCATCAAAATTAGATAATAAGGAAAGATTATCATTTTCACAACTAATCAGTTCTGCTAATTTTTTAATAGGAAAATATTTAATTAAAGTAACACAAGTAATGTCAATGTTATGTAACAAATAATTGTGGTCTAGGTCTTTATAGTATGATTTCTGAAAAGTCAAACAAAGATATATTATTTCATCAGCTAAAATAACTTTATCCTCGCTAGCAAAGAGATTACATTGAATGTATTCACCGATAATTCAGATAAAAGCATTGCCATCGAGTTGATTGGCTCCATTAAGTTAATATCACCCTTACCGTGGATGATGATAATTGTTTCGCGGAATTTAAACGATATCTCTTTAAGGACGGTCATCGGTAAATCCATTTTCTATGTATTTGCTTCAAATTTGGACCATATGCTATTATTAGTGTTATCTATATGTATGCCTGCTCAATTTTAAAAATCGTGTCCGTACCGAAGTCGAGATATTCAATAGATCAATATTACTCGTATGATATAGACAAAACGTTCTACAGGGATATCTTAATTTATTGCGATAGAAATTGTTTACATGTATTTTGCTAAAACATCTATGATGTGTAATGATATGAATCATGTATTACAAGATAAGGATATGAATAGTTACATAATATAATATATATATCACAAATCTGATAAGCTGGAAAAGGAAAATATTCTTAATAATATTTAAACTTTTGGTCGCTGCCATAAATTCTCTAAATCTTTAATCATAATTGTTACAGCTTCAGGAGAAATAGATTTAAGTGGTGCACGAGGTACTCCTACATTAATATCAGTAACAAGCGCCATTGCTTTCTTCATTGTTTGCACCCAATTGCCTGCAAAAAGTCAATTTTTTTTAACTGTTATCATAATGCACTTTAGTATATGCAAAAATGATATTTACCGTGTTTCGTTATAGCAATTACCGAGCTGGAAAGCTTTTCTTGCATATCTTTAGATCTTAACATATCTCCATTTTTGCAAAGAGCAAGAACATCCAATACAAGATCCGGAAACATGTTTAGACTGGTTACTATAAAAGAATCCATTCCTAATGCACACCCAGCATTTATTAACTGGAGAACCAAAACAAATCGAATAAATTTCCATTATGTTAGAATAAAAGGGCGCGAACTAAGTAGAAAATAAAACAAGATAGTCAATAGTTAATTTTAATATTGACTATTTAGTCAATATTGATCGATACTCGGCGTCTATAGCATAGACTTATACTCAGTACATATTGTCACTAGCTATTTCTGATATATTTTCTCTTCAACAAGTACTGGCTTCTTTCGCTAAATCTTAGGAGCTGTTAGTTTATTACCTGGTCATTGCCAAGAAAAATAACATATTTCCTGTCGTTGGCACGTAGTGCTTGTGCTCCTTCCTCCAAGTTGGCGCTAGTAAATTTTATGCCCACGAACGAGGGTATTTTATCACCAATCAATTCAAGGAATTGTCCCATGTGTACTATAAAATGTTTATGCAAGATACTTTTAATACAACACGCGTATCTAGTATCAATTTTGTCAATTATGTCAGCTGATTATATCTAATATATGTATATTTTAAAATATATTGAAAAGATGCTTACTGTTAACACCAGTCATCATAGGGATATGGTAATATAGTAACGGTGTCTCTGGCGCTGCTTTGCCAACTATTTCCAAGTATTCAATCAGTTGTTCAGGGGTCGCAGGCTTGAAGTACAATTCTGGTAAGCAAAGCATGGAATCCACGTTCAGTTTACTTGCGTGTTTCACCTATGAATTGTTACCAATTGGTTATTTTCATCGTTCAGAGTTGGGATGAATGTTATTCTTCGTGTTATACCTACAAGTTCAATAACATCGGGAAGAGGAGCACCTCCTACTTGAACCATCAAGTGTTGTTTCGTTTCTTTCGTTGCCTTTACCCAGGCTTCGGTAACAAGTTTTCTTTCAGCAATAGACATCGACGTCCCTTCACCACTGGTGCCGTTAACTGCAATAAATGGATATGTAAATAGATTACTACTCGTATTTAAAATCATTTTTGTATGTCATACATCTTTTCGTTTGAAATGATTTTTTACGTAAAATATTTTTTTGTAGGAATTTAATTGGGAATAATATATGTTGTTATTTAAATATTATTTAAATGATTGAAATTGATTTTGAGAAAATGACTTACCAAGAATACCTTTTATTCCTTTCTTTGCCAAGTATGTTGCATATTGAGGTATAATGTTCAAATTAAGAGATCTATTAAATAAATATTGATCATTACAATTGAATTTAATATTAGTTGTTATTACAATTTATAGATACAAGTTAATTACCCATCACTGTTGAAAGGAGTAAATACAGGTACAATAAAGCCTCTGTAGGTGTACGGTAGTCGCTGCGATTATGAAATTAATGTTATGAACTATATCGTAATTAATTTTATTTAGTCTTATATTAACAATGTATCTTGTGAACATTTCTGCAACCTTATCTTGGGATTATTATTTTGTTTTCTATTTAAACAATAAAAATATTGCTTATGAAAAATTATGTACCGCAACTTTCCTTAAATATCTGTTTCTTGTTTAATTACTTTTGAGAAAAGGGGTTGCAAAAATATTGTCTCAACGTTAAATTTAAATTTATGCTTTTTTAAATGTGTTTTATTCGTTAAAAGAATAGAAACTGTAAAACAAAAAGTAGTAAGTCTCTTTAGTCTGATATTATCGGAATTGTTTTTATATTATAAATAATTTCTTTATTTTGCATCTTCTCAATTCTTATCCTTACAGAAAATTAAGAGTAAACAAAATTAAATGGGATTAAAATGAAGAAAATCTACAAACAGAACAGTTTCTCTGAAGAAAGGATTTATTTATAAAAATTGCGATACGCATTTTTTACTATGTTATTAGGAAATAAATTTGAATTTGAATATATTTCATTAAGAATCTTTGTGTTGATTAATTTTGTGATGCGATTCAAGAATCTGTGGGACATAATACTATTAGTGAGATTACAAATTTCACGTGACATATTATATAATTTTATGACGGGATGTACGATATCTACAACTCAGTAAACACAAATGTAGCATTAATAACATAGAAGTAGTCTAGACGCCAGTTACATAACACAAATGTCTGCCACAAGCTATCTTTACTTGGAAGTGCAATATAACTGAATAATTCAAATCGATTGCATTTTTTAGTAGAGCCATTTCTGTTTCCGTTGCTTTGTGTAACTATATGTGTATATAATATTTAATGATAGAAAACGAATATGAAGATATAACATTAGTTAAATGTCTATAAATGTTCGAAAATATTTAATATTTCTACGATAAATGTCGTGAATATTATATACTTACGGACATTTTGTTGTGAGATGGTAAATTAAAACCTTAGGAGAGCAGCAATGCAACACGTGTGAATTAAACAGCGACCAGTAACTAAATATACACGTTCTTGTCGAGTGCTGATAAGATATGGTAGACTGTTGGTTTGTTTGTGAAACGCTAAAGCCTGTTCTACAATAAGTCGTGTGTTGATATCGTACGTTGCCAGTCATATAACTTTTGTCTCAAACATTTGTTTCCAAAATGCATAGTTTTCGAAAAATTTAGGGATTTTTATACTTTTCCTCACCTTGTATGTATATGCTTACAAAACTGTTGCCGTTTAATGGTTTGATTTAACTGTTGTAGGTATGTATTTTTAGAAAACATTGTTGTAGCATTTGTGTATATATTTAGATAATTTATTGGAAAACCGGGAATATTGTAATACAATATACAATATTTTAGGTTGCAAATATGATAAATTAAAAAAGGAAAATATTCTCAGTAATATTCTCTGTAGTATTTAATCTTTGACAAATTGTATATGTAATAAAATGGCGATCGTTATAAGCTATACTGATTGTCTATTCAAAAGTTTTTACAAATTCTTAAAATTAAAAAAATTAATATAGGGTAAAAGCAGGTATTATGGCCGTAGTTTTGATTTGAGGTCATAATTTTCAAACCGCTGGTTTTTTATTTTGTAACTTTCTGAAATCCTAGTGTATTTAATAAGCTTTGATGGCAAAATGTCTTGATCAATTAAAATCTATCCATATTCGAAGAAAAAAAAATCCGAAAGTATGCGTTTTGGCCATATTAAACGTGGGGTGGGTAATATGGCCAACTATAAGAAAAGTGTACAAAACAGTAATATTTTGTAAAAGTGAGGTATTTACTTTAATTGTAAAGTATTACTTTACGTACAGAACATAAACTGTTATAACTGAAATATTTTAAACATACCTACACATTTAAGAAATAAACATTTAATATAAAAACATTAATATAAACATAATATCAAAGCATGATTGGAGGAATCCAATTTGATCCAGTAGCATTTGTGCAGGCTACTACAGTAACGGTTTCACCTTTCTCAGCATGTGTAGCAGTATTCACTCGTTTACTTCCCTTGAGGGTGGAGTCCCATGGAGCGGAATACGCGGAAGCGGAATCAGCGGATCGCCAATCACAAGACCGTTTCGACGGAATTTTTGAAAGGGCTCTATCAGAATAATCTTGCGATTGGCGATCCGCTGATTCCGCTTCCGCGTATTCCGCTCCATGGGACTCCACCCTGAGTGCTAATACTTTGAACTTATTGCTATATGAAAGTTGCAAACCGGATTCATCCACATTGTAAATTAATTGTGGATTGTTGTGTAAATATAAGTCGTCCATTGTACGTCCTAACAGATCATAAAAATCCCTTACAATTTTCTTATTGAATCGCATGAGTCTCCCATAGCTCAAGTTTTCTGAACTTCTCGAAACAATATCGGGATTTCGCATCATAAAACCTTTTAGCCAGTACTTCCCTGCTTCTTCTTTTTCTATTTTAAACGGATGTATTCCTATTTCTTCGCAATATTGAAAAACACATTTTTTTAAATCCTGACGCTTTAACCCAAAGCCCACTTGTTGGAGTCGAACAATTCTATTCTTCAAATTCTGTTCTTCCTTTTGATTCAAGACGGGTGGACGTCCTAATGCTTTTTTCTTGATCTCTCCATCTTTTGCTAAAATTCTTCTCAACGTTCTTCTTGGAATTTTGTATTCTAACGATGCACGATTTACAGAAAGATTAGTTTCTTTAACAGCCGTCACAGCATTTTGTAATTGTTCTTCTGTCCAGAGTCCTCTTTTATTTTTATTTATTGAAGCCATTTCGTTATCTGCCAATGGGGTAAGTTTGTAAAGTAGACGAGAAAGGAAAGATTAGGAAACCACGAGACACGGTAGTGTCTCGCGTCAAGTATAAGCATATAAGCAGACCGCGCGCGCGAGACAACCGTGTAGTTATACGCGAGTATTAAACTTACGTCGGATTGAGGTTAGCCGGCTCGCTCGAATCTCGGGCTCGCTTTCTCTCTCTCTCTCTCTCTCTCTCTCTCTCTCTCTCTCTCTCTCTCTCTCTCTCTCTCTCTCTCCCTCCCCCCCTCTCCTCTCCGCTCTCTCTAGGTAACGCCGTGCTCTCACAATTTATTAATAATAACTTATCTTTCTTCGCTGTTACTCTCAGCACTGGCGTATTCTACACTCTGTTGTACTCGCTGCTCTCTCGTTGCACTCGCTGGCCATATTAGCAGAGAGAAGCCT